TTAAAGCAGCCAAATTGTTCGTCATTTCAAAATCACAAGTTCTTTAATAAAGGACTGGATATATACAACATGAGTCTTTACGGATCATTTGATCGTGGTTCTTATCTTAAGACAAATGGAGAATAATTCATTTTTTACCCATATCCTTGAGTTTAGCTAGTCAAATTTATCCTTAAATTTTAAATTTCATCTAATCAAATCCTAGCCTTAAGTTAAGTAAGAAATATTGATAATATACTGTTTAACTTGATTTGGACATTTTATTGTTAAGTTTGAGAACTTTTTGATGTACTTGAATTTGTTGCTAGGTTCGAGTGTTTTTGTGGTTTAGTTTAGGCATTTCTATGGCTTCATCTTTGGGTTTTGTTGTACTTGAATTTGTTGCTAGTTTCGAGTATTTTTGTGGTTTAGTTTAGGCATTTCTATGGCTCCGTCTTTGGGTTTTGTTTCCTGAATCTTGTTAGATTTATTGGTTGATTTGAGTAATTTTTTAATTTAATTTGAGGTGTTAGTTGCACCACTTAAGGGAAAGTAAGGTTTAATTTAAGTTTAAGGTTTAAATTGACAAGATGATAAATGTCCCAATCAATTTTCAAATGAAAAAAAAAAAAAAGTCAAAGAAAAGAAAAATGGAATATTATCTTAGAACATATTTTCAAACAATCTCTTGGCCATGATTCCATGCATGACATCATATTATTTAACTACAAAAAGAAGATGATCATGTATCCCTACCACCCTACCAGAACTTATTCATCACTTTTCGATGCTTAAGCAATATCAAGGGTCCTACCAATCAAGAGAAATTAGGAAGCAGGAGCAAGTCAAAATGAAGTAGGAATGCCAGGTTAACAAATACACTAACCTTCAGGTTTGAATCCCAACTTCCTGTACATAAAGCACTTCCATCAGCAGACAAGCCCAAGCAACTAATTCGCCCTTCGTGTGAGTTCTGAAGTGTTCCCAAGTTCAAAACCATCTGCAGTCACAAAAATTAATAGGTGTCATTTCACCCAATTAGATATCCTGTTAAAGGATCAAGTAATATACATAGGATTTTTTTTCCTACTCAAAGTATGCTATAGAAAATTATTAGGCAACAGCTTTGTCTTAATCAACTTAATTTGAACAAGATGAAATACCTTTGCAAGTAAGGTGTCCCACACATAGCAATCACCATTTTTGTATCCAGCAAACAAAAGTCTTCCAGATATAGAAAATGCAATGGAGGTTACGTGTGAGTTGGTATTATCACTGTGCAGTTGATGGTAAACTTGGAGTTCATGCCCAGTTCTGATATCAAATAATCTGCAAGTTCCATCATCAGAACCTGTCCCAAATCGGTTACCATCTGAAAAGAACTTCACTGCATTAACATCCCCTTCATGCCCATGAAATGTCTGCACTGCACGACTAGCTACCCGAGTGTCCCACAGTCGAGCAGTTGCATCACAAGAACCAGAAATAAATGTTCTGGAATTGGATCCACTAATAGATACACTACAACATGCAGAAAAAGAAATTAGTCAAACATCTACAAAAGCACATGAATAAATAAAATATCCCTGAATTAGCATTGGACAATTACAAACATCCATCTTTACACCGTAAATCAGAAGGGCTTACAGAAGGGAAAATGTAATATAAGCAAGTAAACAAGTTAATGAAAAAAATTGCATATTCATATCGGAACTTTATATCATAATGAACCAAGACAATCCAATCAAAAAAGAATGAGCCCAGACAATGGAACTCCAATGAACTAGATTCATCTCTAAACCAACTCCTTAAGGATGTTATGTGAATAAAAACCCTCAAAATTAAGTTTCAAAATCAGTTACCTCAATACATCTGCTGCATGCCCCGACTGAAATTCACCTCCAAAAACAGAGGTTCGAAGCCCAGTCGTAATATCCCATAAGACACACGTCTGATCCCCAGAACCAGTAATGAGGTGAGTATCCTCATCTGGAACATACTGACATGACGAAATGTATCCTTTATGCCCGCTAAGCGTTCTAGACACTTGCAGATTCCCATCTCTGTCAGTTGGAGAGTTGAGGTTGAAGATAGAACAAACACTGTCAAGACCACCACCCGCTACAGATTGACCAGAAGGAGAGAAAGCACAGGTCATGACCCAAGGGCAAGGTAGTTTTATGGCGTGAGTCTTCTGGCTCGTTAGCGCATTCCACACTATTAAACGCCCATCTTGAGATGCACTAACGATTCGATTCCTCTCTGAAGTCCAATCCAACGAATACACCTGCAGGAGTTTCAACAATTATTTTCCAACCCCAATTGAGAATGAAGGTTAAATTGTAAAGAAAAAGAGACATGATTGAGAGCAGGATCATTGCAAAGAAACACTTCATCGCAAGAATAGGAACCATTTTCAATATCTAAGGTCTGTATTCCAGACAATGAGTCGAGTGCCAGTAAAATGGGATAAATAATTTGATCATGTTAGATGAACACGCTCTCCACAATGGTATGATATTGTCCACTTTGAGCATAAGCTCTCATGGCTTTGCTTTGAGCTTCCCCAAAAGGCCTCATACCAATGGAGAGGGTATTCCTTGATTATAAACCCATGATCATTCCCTAAATTAGCCGATGTGGGACTTTCATCATCCAACAGATCAAACTTGAGAGAACATATATAATGTAGCATAAATCAGAGTAAGCTATCTCTTGAAGAAAGTTTCTTTTTATCATTTCATAGGCCTATACTCCCCTACTGCCTTAGATCCTTCCCACCAACAAGTATGATTGTACGCCAAATCATTAAATCTCTTGCAAAGCATACACGTGATAAATGAACTAATAAAGCAATCGCTACCAAATCCATTCCTCTTAACTAGATAATCAAAAATTGTTTTAAAGTCAACTGGTGTTGTAGTGTAATTCAATCTCAACCTTCCAAGATACGTCTACAGTAAAGCAACGATTTCAGATCTTGTTCACAACGTGGTTAAGAGGATTTCTAAAACAGGCAACCTTGAAGAGGAAATGAAACACGGTCGTCCTCATAGATAACCAAAAAAACGTACCTTTCCAGTATGACCCTGTAAAGTCCTGCAGCACACGAGATCCGTAGCTCCAAAACAGACGGGATTCTTCCCCAGAGACCTCACATACCCAGCTACTGCAGAAGCAACCACCAAAACGAATGAGATCGAAACCAACTAACAACAATATAATCATCAATCAGAAGAAAAAACAAACAACGCCGAACGAAAAAACCTCCAGAATGATGAAGTAGCTCACCATCAGTGTCGAGCAACGAATGCCTCTTCTGCTTCAAGCGCTCTTTGAGAGAGTTGACCGTCTCAATAGCCGCCACATGCCGCTCCTTAAGCTCGGAAACAGACATTTTGCTTCTTCAAAACAAAAATTTTCAACTAAGAAACGCCATCCACACGCCCGAATCGAGCTTCAGAGAAGTCCTGAGCACTGAACAGGACAATGAGGGGAAATCGAAGCGAAAATCTAGGGTACAACTAGGGTTTACAGGTCCGGGAGTAGGCGAAGGATTGAAGATCGTCTCTGAAGAAGAAGAAGAAGAAGAAGAAGAAGAAGAAGAAGAGCAAATGAAAACTTTAAGGGCGATCGAGAGGAAGAGGAAAAAGGGACGAAGAAATGGAGAATTATTTTTCTACTGAAGCCGGCGGGGCCCACGCTGTCCCACGTGTTGCACTAACCATACGTGTAAAACACCGTGTCATGTGGGGTCCATTCAGGCTCTAATCTAATAATTAAATCCACTTTAATTACTATAATTGTGTTCAATTAATTAGCCGCAAAATGTGATTTAGATAAAGTTATACAACAAAATACTTTTATTTTTCCCTTTTTTAACCTAAAGTTTAAACTTTTAAATTAATTCAAATATATATATATATATATATATATATATATTAATACTTAATGACCAACATTAAGAAGGTATGTGTAATATTATTTTATAGTTATATAAAAATTAATATTGTTGTTATTATTATTATTATTTATCTTAAAATATATTGTTAAATAATTTACCTGATTAATTTTTAGAATAGTATTATAAATGATATTTTTTTTATGTTGCCTGATTCATTTCCATCTTATTAAAAAATAATAATAAAAAAAAGGGGCTATTTTAACAATTTAGGAACATAATTAAAATTTGTTCGAAAGTTGAAAAGTATTTTGCATCATTCAACCTTTCTTAAAAATCAACCACTATAGTCGACTAGTAATTCAATAGATAAGACATTTATATAGTTTTTTTTTTATTATTATTAAACGATAAATTTGGATTGTAATGATCATTTATATTTTAAGTGGATTAAAAACATGATCGTAAATTAAAAATATGATCATAATTCATGGTCATAGTTTTTCATCTCTAAGTTAAAATGGGTGATGAGTTAAAATGGGTGATGACCGAGTAGACGAAAAGTAAAATTGTGAAAATTTTATAGATATTATTTAGACCAATTAAGATGTACATTTATTTTCGGTGACTTAGTACCAAAACTTCAAAATAAAAATAAATTTATTTTGTTTTTGTTTTTTTTGTTTTTTAAATTCCCCAATAAAATGTTTGACGATCATACTAAAATCGATGCTACAAAAAGTAACAAAATAAATAAACAATACCCCAACGAGGCTTAGTTAATAATATTTAAACTTGACTATTTTACTATTAGTGAATAGTAAATTCAACCAAAAAAAAAAAAAAGAATATATCAATGTCAAAATGCAATATTTTAGCTTGAAATTAGAGGAATAAAATACCCCAAATCATAAATATTGGTTTAATACCCATAACTAGTTAGGGGAGTAATTGATTTAAATCTAATATTCATATAATAGCTATATCAAATCTCATAATTCGATGAAATATTATTGGAATAAAAATTATAAACTAATTCTAAACAAATTTCAATTAATTCATAAAAATGACAACAAATTTAATATAGATCATTTTCTTGATAGTTTTGAAAATGGTCGTTTCAAAAATGAAGCTTTTCACAAAACAAACAAAGTTTAAGAATACAAATCAAATGACCAGTTATACCAAAATAAAACAAAACAAAGTCTAAAAATACAAATGAAATAATTGAGTCATACCAAACCTTTAGCCTCACATACCATATGAATAATCATTTCGGGTTGGGATGCTCTCAAGTTCTGCATTCTTATTGCCTACATTCAAACTTTTCGTCATAATATGATTCTTGAAACTAAGATAATGGTTCAAATACGCCATCCCTAAAATCATGATAAAAGTTCAGATTAACTAACCGCATGAACAAAACAAAATCCGCATTATAATGTAACATTATAATGCTACGTGTTAGGTCAGTTTTAACGATACATCATGATTAACAAACACAAATTTTCAGCCATAAACCAAGAATGTGTGAATACAAGCAATCAATTTGAAATCTATAAAATCCAACTCTAAATTAACCATGTAACTCAAGTGCTAAAATCTAAACATCAAAATATTTCATTCACGACATAAAAAGCACAACAAAAGAACACCAATTTCACCAACCTACCTGAGGCACTAAAATCTTGTATACGTATTCTACACGCTCTAAAACCAAAATGATGAATGATTAGATACTAATAGAGATTAGTTTAGGCAGGTATAAATTAACTCAGCCATTCATAACAAATAAATAGTAAATAAATTTAAAATAATAATAAAAAAAAAAACAAAAAAACAAGTTATTGGTAGCCGTCGAAATTCATATACAAACAATTATTTCGAGAAAGGCATCAACTGTAAATAATTATAATGATTTATGAAGCAGAGTTAAAAGGCTCAGAGATGTGTTGATCACCAGAAAATTAAACTGAATTAGGCACCAGAGTGAGAAACTGGTGTTGTTTCGATACGACCATCCTTAAGTACATGAAGGAACTGCTGGGGTAAAACATGCTCCACCTGCGAGAATACAAACAATGGAAGTCATCTAAAGGAATATGAATGAATGTTTTACCGTGCCAACTTAAGCACATGTTCAATTGATTAAATCATATATCCTCAAATGTCTGAGGTTCAAATCCCCTCATTCTTTAATTCAAACAAAAAAATCGAAAAGAAAAAAAGAAAAAAGACTTCCACACATTTTAATCTATTAAAAAAAACATGATTCGGAGAAAGTCCCACGTTGACTAATTTAGTGAATGATCATGGGTTTATAAGTAAGATTGGTATAAGGCCTTTTTGGGAAGTCACAAGAAAAGCCACGAGAGCTTATGCTCAAAGTGGACAATATTATATTTTTGTGGGGGTCCATGATTCTTAATATAGTATCAGAGTCATGCACTCAACTTAGTCATGTCAACAAAATCCTCAAATGTCGAACAAAGAAGTTGTGAGCCTTGAAGGTAAGTTGTGAGCCTTGAAGGTAAGTTGTGAGCCTTGAAGGTGTAGTCAAAAGTGATTAAGTGTCGAACAAAGGGTGTACTTTGTTCGAGGACTCCAGTGAAGGAGTTAAGCCTCGATTAAGGGGAGGCTTATAGCGTACTTTGCTCGAGAGGAGGATTGTTGACGATTGTTGGGAGGGAGTCCCAGATTGGCCAATTTAGGGAATAATCTTGGGAATACATCTCCATTGGTATGAGGACAGGAGGATCGTTGACGATTGTTGGGAGGGAGTCCCAGATTGACTAATTAGGGAATAATCATGGGAGTACATTTCCATTGGTACGAGGACTTTTGGAGAAGTCCAAAGCAAAACCATAAGGGTTTATGCTCAAAGTGGATGATACATTGTGGGAGTCCGTGATCCCTAACAGGGGACGTGAACAAAAGTTCTCAAAGTTAATACAAAGAAGACTTTACTTTGGAAGTATGGTCAAAGACATTTAAAATCCCTTCATAAAATGTGACTCTAGACAGTCATAATCAGTGTTCAGGATCCAATTTGTTTTCTAGAAACAGTTGAAAATAAAAGTATTATCAAATGAAACTTCAGCCATCATCTTTCTTTATGAACATGAATGACTAAGGCCGACTTGCCTAAATGAAGGAAAAGAAATAGGGAAGATCTGATTAAAAACAGATACACACAGCAACGTATGTACAAGATAGAGATGTACCCAATCACCATCTGGATCATTTCCTCGCACCAAAACATTGATTTCACTTGATTTGGCCGTCGTTATGGAAGACTTCAGAGAATCGTTACTTAAATATAATTGACAGCCACCCGTATTATCCACCGAAATAGTTGGAGCCGATCCCTAAAATAACCAGAAACTACTTTATTACAAACATATTAAAATTATTTGACTACGGATATCATAATTTTGTTTCCCTTTATTATATGCTTTATGCCTTGAATAATAAATCATCATATGGCCATGCAAAATGGGAGCATATCGTTGGAAAAAGATACCTGGCATTGAATCTCAATGCCGTTGCAGTTTACAATCTCACATGCAGCCACGACATCCTGTTATTTTTTGCCATAAACAAACGAGCCTAAATTAGTTCCTATGAGCTTGACTTCAATGAACAGAAATGGTGTGCGGATTGCTTATTTCACACTTACAGTGAACACAACTCCTGACTTAGTGCATTTGTCAACTGTTATGTTATTGACCTTTCCTGCACATAGTTTTTAGGGATGATGCAAGTAATTTTGAAGTGGCTGCGCAATATCATGCTAGTGATGTCAAATGAGTGGTTGGAGAGAAGAGAGTAAAGTAACGAAATCACCTTGAACCTGAACCACAGAATCTTTACATCCATACATGTATACCGACTGTTTTGCATCACATTCTGATATAACCAAATTTTTGTTTCCAATTTGGTTCTCAATGGCCCACCTGCAAGGATGCAAAATATGAGGTGTACGAATCACAGGGATGTCATTTTCTTCGGTAGGGATGATAATATTAGCAGACATACTTCCGACCCATTTGAAGCTCGAACTTGGGGTTGGGAGCGACAACTGACTTCTTCGACGAAGAAGGCAAATTTCTTCGACCAATTTCACTGGTATTGACAATACCAGTTCTGTCTCCACGGTTTTTCGTCTTCATATCATCAGTAACTTTTCTCAAACCTGTAATGCAACAAAAGTATGTAAAAAGTAGGGCAGTATACCTATAATTGGTATACAAATCAATTGACCCTTTTGCTAAAGAATATAATTCTGTAAACATAATCAATTGTACCTTCAGTGACAGACTTTCCTGAGCTAATTTCTTGAAACACAGCAGCCATTCCTTCTTTTGGACGTGTTGACGCTTGAGAAGTTTCAGTGCTAAAGAGGGGAGCTGAGGGAGGTGGAGGAGCAGGAGCACTTGGGGTAGGAGCTTTCGCTATTTTGCCAGCAGGATTCCAAACTGGTCCCAAAGGATAAAATCTTTTAACATAATCCCTCAAACCTGGCAAGAACAGTTCCTTCACAGCTCTGGCCCACTCGACATGGTTTTGATCTTTGTTTTTAAACTCCACGAGAATCTAAATTGGGATTTAGGAAAACAAAGAATGAATACAGCCTTGGAAATACTTTATCCAACTACTTAGCACAGATGATAAATTCGCAGGGAGCTACAAGCATCAAGACTATCAATTTCAAATGATACATCCACTTCTTAAATTTGCCCTGTTCACCCATCTATTTCTTTACGTTGAATCATGAATTGGCTAAGAGTACAAGGCAGACAAACCATGGAAAAAACATGATAAAAATAAGTCTGCAGATTATAACAAATTCATAAACAAGGTTCAATCTAGCACCTACGAAAGCCATTTTGATCATGTTTGTATTGCTACATATGAAAATTTTTCTTACATATTTACATAGGTTGGTTGGTGTTCCTTCTTATATCATGAATATATCAACTAATGTGCCATGTTGAGTGTACCTTGTTGCTGTAGAACTCAGCCGTTTGCCAAGTTTCCTCAACATGTGCTACAGGCATGCTCATACCTACGAAAAGTATCATCGGGGAATTAGAAGGTTCGAGTGAAACTACACATTTTCATTTCTAATGTAGAAGGAATAACTAAAAACATCGTCACACCAGACTCTTTTCCTGTATACGCAATCCAGGCTAAAGCCGAGAGAGCATCAGCAACAGTCTTCAAATGGTTGAAAAACTCAGTTCTTCTCCCTGCTGTCAATGCGTTTGCCTTCAGAATAACTTCGTTCAGTGGCTTGAAAAATCCAGCCAATCCGGCAAGATCAGGTTTCTGCAACACAGGAAAACATTCGACCAAATAAAGCTATTCGTTCTGAGCGAGAGACGTTGCAAACTTGAGATAGAGACGCTATCTTCCCCCAAACAACTAACACGAGAGCAATACTCCAACATTTGTAAATTAACATTACATTTTGAAGATTCTCAAATTTTTGTTTCATTCGTTTAGCATCCAATCATGATAAAACATCCACGGAAACGAATATACAGGATAAACGACCTCATCGATCAACGAATTCATCAAATCGTCGTTCAAACAGGAAAAAAAAAAACATAAAAAAAAAGCCGATTACCTGCGTTTGTTTGATCGTGACAAGAAGCTCCTTCTCAACGGAAAATGCTTCTTCCACAATCCTCGTGACCTCAAGGACCTGACCTCCTATCTTCTCAGCAGCATCGGACACCTTCCGAACGCAATTCCTCATCAGATCCTCAAAAGCCAAAATCGAAGGCTCCGACGCCGCATCGTCGCCACTTCCCAACGAACGACTGACAGTGGAGGATCCGGTCGACAGTGCCTCAAGCCGGCACACGGCGGATTCAAGGCGTTGAATCAATTTCTCCTCCATATCCGCAACCGCAACCGCAAAACTCAATCTAAGATCAGATCCACGGAGAAATGCAATGAAGATGAAGAAGATGACTATTTCGTTTCAATGATTCGGAATCGAAATCCAGGCTTTAGCTTCGGCTTTTTGTTGTTGTTTCGTTGATTTTCTTTTTTGGCGGTTTCAATGATGAAGAGTTACTACAACTTTGCGCGGGGTCGTTCGTTTTGGTTTCAGAAGGGCAATTCCGGGAGTTTGAAGAATTACACGTGGCAATTTCTCAATTTTTTCAGCACGATTATTCTCAATTTCTAATAATTGCTTGCCACGTGTCGTCTTCGTGATTCAAAAACTTCTTTTCCTTTTTATTTATTTTTTTTAAAGTATCTCGTACATTTAAAGTATCTGTCATTTATGTACGTACCTTTATGAAATTTTAGTTATTAATATAATATATATAGTAGATAAGTATAATTTTTTTAAAATTTTGAAAAAGAAATAACCCGACAACCCAACCCAACTCAAGATTGGGTTGTAAACTCTATTTTGGTTGCTCGGGTAACCAACTCGATCTAAATGTTTCACTAAAAAAATTGATTAGTACTTTTTAATGAAATACTTCATTAGTTTCCTTTAAGACGTGCCAACAAAAATAAATGTTTTGCTCAATAACACTTTTCCAAAAGAAAATATTTGAAGCATTGAATTCACGGTTGAATCAAATTATCACATATTCATTGTTTCCGTTCAATTTAAATGATAACTAAGCTCTCATTTCGCCACGAACTAAGGAAATAAAAGGCTTGTGTGAACAAAGTTTGAACAAAGCGTGAACAAATCTTTCAAAAAGTAAGAAATTTAAGCAAAAATCTAACTCAAAAGGTCAATTTTCTTTGAAGTCTCGTCAATGGCCATTGCCCAAACCCACTACTATCAGATATTATTAACTTTAACCTATTGCATATCGCCGTCAGCCTCACTGTTTTAAACCGCGTCTACTAGGAAGAGGTTTCCACACCCTTATAAGAAATGCTTCGTTCTCCTCTTCAACCGATGTGAGACCTCACAATCCACCCTCCTTGGGGCCAACATCTTCGCTAGCACATTGCCCAGTGTTTGGCTTTGATACCATTTGTAACAGTCAAACTCACCGCTAGCATATATGATTCACTTTGATCCATAACATATTGTCGTCAGTCTCACAATTTTAAAACGTGTCCACTAGGGGGAGGTTTCCACACTCTTATAAGAAATGTTTCGTTCTCTTCTCCAACCAAAATGGGACCTCACATCATCGAAATCTACCTAAGGTCGAGTTTAGGATAAAACAAATTGCATGTGCATATGTCTAAGCAAATTAGGGTGGATTTGGGTGATGGGTATTTATGAACCACAAATAGAGAAAGAAAGAAGGAAAACAACAAACAAGGACGGCTAAACAATGATGAAATCTCCAACTTGAGAGGGAAAACAACATCAAACTAACTCCTAAAAATCCTTACGAATTGGGTAGAAATGTAGCAGATGATGGCCCCATTGTGTTTGTTGAGAAGTGGATTTTGTTGGTGGAACCTATCACCTAGGCGACCACATGCCACGGAAACTAACTAACAAGCAACCATTCAAAATCATATATTCGCAGTTCAGTGTCGGTATAGACTCAGAGAACTATTATGGTTGACGACGACATGCCACGTTTACTGTGATGTCCCACACTGGTTAGGGAGGAGAACAAACCACCATTTATAAGGGTGTGGAAACCTTCCCTTAGCAGACGCGTTTTAAAGCCTTGAGGGGAAGCCCGAAAGGAAAAGCCCAAATAGGAAATCATACATTTGCACTCTAGTGTCAGTATAGACTCAGAGAACTATTATGGTTCACGATGACATGTCACGCTGACTAAACTAATACGCGACGATCGAAAATCATATACTCGCACTCTAGTGTCATTATATGGTTCACGATGATATGTCACGCTAACTAAACTAATAGGCGACGATTCAAAACCATATATTCACACTCTAGTGTCAGTATAGACTTAGAAAACTATTATGGTTCCTGATGACATGCACGCTGACTAAACTAATACACGACGATTGAAAATCATATATTTGCACTCTAACGTCAGTATAGACTCTGAGAACTATTACGGTTCACGATGACATGCCAAGCTAACTAAACTAATAGGCAAGGATTCAAAATCATATATTCGCACTCTAGTGTCAGTATAGACTCAAAGAACTATTATGGTTCACGATGACATGTCACGCTAACTAAACTAATAGGCGGCGATTCAAAATCATATACTCATAGTCTAGCATCAGTATAAACTCAGAGAACTATTTTCGCTTTTAGCGTTCCTTCGTAGATCTAACGAGTAGATCAAAGGTATTGAGCTAGAAGAAAGCGAGCACACCTATCAAAGTTGAAGTTGATGAAACAAAGCAATGACTTCACTAAATGTTGAACAAGTTCACATTGAATTGGAATGAACCTAAGAGTTCTTGAATAAACTTCAAAATTTCACAAACAGAGACGCATGGAGAATTATTGCAAGAAGCCTACAAATTTCATATATAAAAAATAGGACATCCTATATACAAAAGAAACGCTCACTTCTTAAGTTTGTAGAGAACCATAAACACCAATACAACAGCACAAACATTAGGCAAATAATCGATATACACCGCGCTGCCTCGTAATAGATTTTCGAAAACTGATTGGGAAGAAATTATAGTACAAAATAATCTGACCTCTTGGAAGAACTGGCTTCTTTCTTGCAGCAATAAGGTTCATCTCTTTCTTGCTTCCATATCCTCTATATACCAGCATGCTTCATTGGAAGTTTACTCGGCACGTCTAAGCTAGAAGGCTGGTTATCTTTCTCTCGCACGGATCGAAGCTCCTGGAGTAAAACAGATAGGTTCACTCTCTTATTTGAACACATGTTTGAAACTCATACAATCACTTTGTTCTGGAATAGTGATTGATGTCTGAGAACATCAGGCTTGCAATAGTATGATAGAGTATCATTCATATTCCACTAGTACACAACTAACCTACATAACTTTACAATTGAAACCATCATATTCTCCCTTAAGATAACTTTCTGGATTGTATTCAGAAAGGTCTAGCTAAATAACTCGCCATTGAATCGATTAGATTTTACACGAGTCGATAACTTATTCAGATATTTAAAGCATTATCTTCTTTGGGTTCATTGAAACTTTGGAAATCAGGGGGTAGATAGAACAGCTGATGTAGATGAACTAGGATGACGATCAGCACATCTTAAGTCAAATAATTTAAAGAGTATAGGTGGACGACAGTGCTTACCGAACGATAAGGAAAGTCGTCTGCCTCTATCATATGAACGATTTGCCCCATTTTTGGCCTTTTATTGGCATCCAAGTCGATGCAGCGTAGACAAACAAGCAACATTCGCTTTAGAGTTCTTGGGGGGGGTGGAATCTCAATCAACGGATCGACAACCTCTTCGCCACGTCGATTTGCTACCATTCCTTTAAACCAGTCCACCAAGTTCATCTGCAGATACATTCACCAAATGCTTAAGCAAGACAAAAGCCTACTTTCTTTCTGCTTAACAAAAACTTTCCAGTCTTCCCTCTAGCACACGGGAATCATCGTAAATTAAATTGGAAAACTTAAATAGGTATGGAACATGTGAGAAACTTGGCTTAACATGGTGCTTAGAGCGTAACGGTCTTACCTCTCCTGGAGGCCTGGAATAGTCGATTGGGCTTCGGCCAGTAATTATCTCCATAAGTAGAACTCCGAAACTATATACATCACTCCCCTCGTTAAGCATGCCTGTACTTGCATACTCAGGGGAAACATATCTACAGAACAACAAAGTACCTCAGCAAACCAGAATGACTGAAGTTGCAAAACTGGATAGAATCTAGTAACGTAGAAACATACCCAAAGGTCCCCATTACACGAGTAGTTACATAGCTCGCTTCGGGTTGTAAGAGCTTCGCCAGTCCAAAATCAGACACTTTCGCATTCCATTTTCTATCTAAGAGAATGTTGCTAGATTTTATATCACGGTGCACAACTTTCGGTTCTAAACCCTCGTGCAAATAGGCCAAACTGTTATTGAAATGAGTCAATCAGCAACAAAAACACAACCAAAACATAATTACAATCAACTTCCAATACGACCAGATGTTCTATGTCAATGTAAAACAGTTTACCCTTTTGCTGTTCCAAGGGCAATTTTCATCCTAATATCCCATGTTAGAGGGCTAACAGGCCCCACATCACCATGTAACCATTGCTCCAAGTTGCCATTATCAACAAATTCATACACAAGCATCCTAAAATGGCCACAAAATCCCAGATGTTAAATTTATTTTATTGGACTCACGTGTTAACTTTTGAAGGAATTCAAAAAACAATGTACCTCTGTGTTCCTTCTGCACAATAACCCATCAGACCCACCAAGTTCTTGTGCCTTACTTTTCCAATGGCCTCTACTTCAACCTGGAACTCTTTCTCTGCCTGACCCCTGTAAGAAAATTATGAAAACAGTTAAGGGTACGTTTGGTAGCCAATTTGCATTCTATTTTCTGCTATTGGATTCATTGTTTGGGGATGTTTTTAGAACTGTTCTCGATTCTGTTATCCACAAATAGTGCAAATTATGAAAAACATTGTATTGAAAACAAATAATATATAAATATAGCATGATTTCATGCTATAAACTCAATTCATTTTTATTAATTACACAAAATTTTAAACATAAACATAATCACAAGGGATAGTTTATATTTGGCCTAATGTTTAGTGGTAATGTGAGATCCCACATTGATTTGAGAAGGGAACGAAACACTCCTTATAAGGGTGTGGAAATCTCTCCCAAGTAGACGCGTGTTTTAAAACCGTGAGGCTGACGGCGATACGTAACAGGCTAAAGCAGACAATATCTGCTAGACGTGGATTAAGGTGTTACAGGTAACTACAACTAGTTTTATGGTTTAAATTGGGATTCAATTCGTGAACCTATTATCGAACACATATGTAAAACATGAAATGCAACTTTGTTTTCATTGAATCGCTTTATGCAAAATTTTGTTTCTAGATTGCCCACCAAACCGGCCCTAAGACATTAACTTAAAATATAGCAAGCACCATCCAGTAGGCCATATTAGTTTCTGAGAGAGAATCTACCCATAACCAGGAAGAAA